AACACATACGTTTTATAATCTAAACAGTCTACTTGTAGCTGCTTTTGTGAGCTTGAAAATATATACATATGCTGAGATTTATGATAATTTTAGCAGGCTCTCAGGTCAGGAAAAGAAACACTATCCTAACCTAATTAGGGAATTTCACCACATCAGGAAAAACCACTGAAATAAAAATCATTTAGGTTCTGTAGAGAGAAGCATTACACAGCCGGTAGAGCTCATACAGACCATCAGTGTGTTGCTGAAATGAATAATAGCCTGCACTGAATGAAAGCTGAGCTCAGCTTTACTGGCAAAATCCCCAGTCGAACAGTGCAATCAATAGCATTCAACATCAGGGACCGCTGCACAAATAAACTACTGACAACTCTAGATGTGCAGAAAAGTGGTTTAATTTGAAAAACAGTCCTGCTCCTCACTGCAGGATGATGGATTACTAATCCTGCTAGATGCTGAGATATCGCCTCCAATGCTTTGCTTTGCGGTACAATCTTCCCAGACAGTATAGATTTTATCCAGGAACGTGACTATTAATGATACATGAACTATATGCCGATTTGCTGTTAGACAGGATAATGCCCTCAATTAAAGCAGAGCATTCTAAATTATTTTGGAAGAAGTAGGGTGCCCTTCTAAAAAATCTCTTTCTTGGGGATATCCTGGCCTATTTAGGAAAAGTGGAGAGAGAACATACTGTCTGTGCTTGAAGAATGAATATATATGGGGCCAAGAGGCAAAGTATCATGTTTTAGAGCCAACAAATAGGGTGTATGTTTTGGTTTCATCAATATTTCAAGAGTATCCATTCAACAGTTGTTTTTTTTTTTTTTTCTTAACATAAATAGAGAGCAACAAGATACTTTATACTTCACTTTGTCCATTACACTAAAAGGCTGGTCAAATGTGCATATATTTTTAATGAATAACAACATTAGTTGCAACATGAAACAAGGTCTACATGGGGTTTATTATGTTTTTGTGAAGTATTTATAATCCTCAAATGGGGAGTGATAGATGTTAAATAATAAATAGATTAAGTCTGTTACACAGGGGGAAAACTAATAAAAATGTAAATGGATATAGAAACAAAACAGAACAAAATTCAATTTTCAAAGACTTTCTGCCTTTTATTAAAGGTGCTGTTTATTCAGCCCAGCCTGCATTGATGTGTTTACATAGATGATGAAAATGGTATGTTATTTCTCCCAGAAGGCCATTTTCCTCAGCTTTTACAAGATAGTAAAATTACTGCATAGTACAAACGTCACAACATAATGTGAAATTTAACTAACAGGGGACGACTGTGGTTCAGTGGGTAGAGCAGTCGTCTCCCAACCAAAGGGTTAGAGGTTGGAATCTCAGTGCCGGCAGTCCACGTGATGAAGTGTCCTTGGGCAAGACACTGAACGCCCCCCGTTGCCCTGATGGTTAGAGCCATCGGTATGAGTTGGCGCCAAAGATGGCTGCCTTGGTTCTGTACTGGAAACAAATTCCTTGTGTGTAACATACTTGGCCAATAAAGGTGTTTATCCTTAACTGAAAGGAGCTTGTGTTTTTTCAGAAAACTGCATAAATGCAGTGGACACATACTGAGTGTGTGTGTGTGTGTGTGTGTGTGTGTGTGACTATTCCTCAGCAGCAGTGTCAGTCAGCAGCTCCAGAGGAACTAGCTCTGACACAGATTCTGAGGACTGAACCTCTGCAGAGGGAAAACTTTTCTTCCTTTGTGTTGACCGTTCTGCCTCCACAGCTTACATCCTCTCCTCTCTTTCCTTCCATCTGGAAACCCTTATTTTACCTTCCTTAGATCACTATAGTCATCCATTATCTCTGCCTCTCTACTCTCTACTTGTCTTTGGCGCTGACCTCACTACAGCATTGCAGGGTAGAGAAGCATGCATGAACACATTTGTTCCTTTAGTTCTTCCTTCCTACATGTGAGGTCTATAACTTTAAACCCAAAAGATTTCATCCTCTCACACTTTTTTTTTTCAAGACACACAAACTCCACACCTGCGGTCTACAAAACACATGAACACTGCATGTCAAAAAAGAAAATATTTAGCACATCTTGTTTTAATATGTGTATATGTATACATCAAAAAATGAAGTTTAATTATTTAAATGTGTTTTATCTTTTATTATAAAAATTTATGTAAACCTTTAGGAAATTCAAATAAAAATCTCAGATAGAGATCACAAATACAGATGGTGCTACACAAAGGCCACATTCAGTTGTTTGCAGTGTTGTGTGGTCAAGTCTGCTTTTGGCAGATTGGCAAAGTATACAAACAGTTGCTTGTGACACTGGATTAAACATGCAGCATGGGAATGTATAATTTTAGGGTGTTGAAATGCTGGTCACAAATAATGAACAAGATGGAAGGAAAAGTATATTAATAACTAATGTAACATTTTTATATGCATAAACTATCTATACATGAATATACAATATTGTGTACTGCTGCATCAGAACTATGAGCAAATCTGTTTGACAGTTGAACTGCATAACGTATAACAGAACAGACATATGTTACAGAACTGCAAACATTTTCAAGGCTACTGGTGTCATTGAAGTGGTGTTGTTGAGGTTGGTGACAAAAATCAGGTAGAGGTGTGTAAACTTTAAGAAACTGAAAGAGTCCAAGAGGATGCTGCTTTGAAAGTTAGTCAGCCTGTACGTACACAAGTACAAGTGTGCTTCACTACAAACTTTCAGTCAAGAACCTCTGTGAGGCTATAGTCTTATTAAACTCACCCTGGTTGCCTCACTGTCTCTGCCCATCAAAAGCAGAACCCTTTTTAATTTCCTTAATTAACACATTCAGGGAGATAGGTTTAGACAGGCCATACTGTCAGTTATCTAATGCTGAAAACCCCAGGGCCATTGTAACACTGAATGTACAGTACAAGAAATTTGGGCTAGGCTAAGGAATAAGGGTAATGCAGCCTTGACAATAATTTCTTTCACTGTGTAATCACAATTAAAATAATTGGTTATCCATGCACACACTGTACATTGCCCAGTTAGAAATCAAGCTTATTGAAATCACATTACACAACATTACTCTTTGAATGAGTCATATTATGCAAGCCACCTGTGGTTAGTCAGAGGCACAGAAGCAACTCTCAGTTTGACTGTCTCTTTAAAAGACCATAATTAAGCTAACCTATGCCACAGTCAGTCCATTTCTATTTTTATTCCCATTCCTAGGCTAATTATCTATCCTATGCCAGGGCATAGGTTAGCTTAAAGCCTGCAATTAAGAAGCATCTTAACTCTAGCAGGATTAGACAGTCTAGACATCTGACAGCGCTATATGACTATGTCTCATGGTGGAACATCCTCATAAGAGATGACTGACATGCAACCATGTTCCAAAGTTTTGATACAGGGGAGACTTTTCAGCCATGGGGAGACATCACTGTTCTGTACTTTGGAACTTTCTGCAAGTGCACACATGCAAACTCTTTAAAAGAAAATGACACACAGGCTGAACATCTCACATGTGATGCCATCTACCAGTTGCTGCATGCTCCGCCCACACCCCGCGAAGTGCGGCACTTCACAAGTGCACAGTAATGCAACACTGAATCACAGTTGGTTGTGTTCACAAGTGCATTAGACCACACCTGACCACACCCAACAACACAGCTGGGTGTGGTCAGTGGTGCAACAGACTTGAACCTTTCAACCCATAGAGGTCAGTGCAACAGTTTTGACTCCATAATGTGGAGTTACTCATAAACAATTTAGGAGGCACCTTTAGAGCACAAACCTGTGCCATTGGTGAACAATTCTCCAACTTGCTGATACATCCAAAAACATCATTCTGATCATGTAAATGTTAAGCATCACTGATTTCCTGACCATGCAGACACATGCTTATGATTAGGAACCATATCTGTATCTTTTGGTGTTTTTTGTTCTTACTAAGCTTGTCTAAGAATGTTTAACATGTAATATCTATGTACAGGTAAAAACCCAAGATCCAGACCACTTCGTAATAATACTTTGCTACACCCTAACTCAAGGTCTTTCTGTTTGCCTAACTACAAAAAAATAAATAAATAATAAAAAAAAATTGTCTGATACAGTTTTTATCCTGCAAGCAAACTAGCTAAAAGGGACCAAATCCAAATTGGTTCGGCAAGGGTAAAAAGAAATTTTTGAGGGATGTACTGTCTAAAATATTCATGGTCTGTACACAATGATTCTAAATATAGTGTTTTTAGCTTGCATGATGTAGACAAGCAGATTAGATGCGGGGAACGTCACTGGAATGTGACTAATGTTACAACTAATGCCCTAGGGTCCACTAGAGACAAACACAACTTGAGGGAAGTCAAAACACATAGGGATCGTTTACAGAGCTTTTCACTGTATTCAGCACAGTATCACATAGCTGTGAGCATCATACAAACTACTTCCTGTATGATCAGTTATTTGACTGGGTTCATGTTATCATTTAACTATCCACTGTTATGTCATTTGGGAAGGTGGGTAATTAATCTAGTGCACAATGTCATATTTAGAACAAAAACCGATGCATAATAAGCTATTCTACATGGATCCAGAAAAGCACTGCTCATATTACTAACTGTATTTCAGGTGTTCAGGGAACCCTTTATATTGTTCAGCCAGTGAAGTGCATGATCAACAAACAGCTCAAATTAAACATATATGTGGAAACCATTACATCATCATTATGACTTTTGAAAGTGGTAGCAGACAAATTGAGAGTTTCTTCTGTGCCTCTAAAATACTGTAGGTGGCTTACAGTCATTGAATCATCCAAAGATTTGTTTTCAGCATTCTTTGTACCCTGTGCTTGCAGGGTATTACTGATTCAGCTGACAAGACTGGATTTTAAAGCTGCATTAAGTAAATGTTGACCACTAGAGGGCGGAAAGACTCCAGAACAAGTTCACAACAGTTAGCAGTTAGCTTATCAGGTTGTTATGGCTAAGATGTTAGCAAACAGTTGCCTACTTACACATCCAGCAGAAACAGAGCAACACGGACCTCCCTTTGGTCTCCTTTTTCTGGCCACCTGTTGAATGTAATTCCAATATTCACTGGCGTTTAGCCCTCGCTTGGTTTTCCAGCTCATGAGAAAAATACGTCTCCTATTGGCTTCCTAAATGTCCAACTACTTTTCACCAGATCTTTGTAACTTTGTGCTGAGCAGTTAGCATACAGTTAGCTTTTTAGCATCTGTGCTGGGAGCAGCTGCCCTTGGTCATATATGAGTCAACAGTAATTTGGTTCTGTCACTCCAGAAACCAAAATGGCCAAAAGCTTCACAGAGCTTCAAAGTGGGATTTTGATTCTCAGTGATATCAGCAATAATAACAATACCAAAATCGGAAGGGAGTCATATGATTAAGTGGTATAAAATATTGCTTAATGCATCTTTAAATCAAGTCATCATGCTCTACTATATGCAGGTTTTCATTCCTTTTGAACACTCAATTAAAATTATTTAGCCACACTTAAAACCACACAGGAAGAACTCACTTAAATGGCTTGGTATAGTGTTTTACTGGAACGAAAACCTCCATCTCACATGGTTTCAGATTTCATTTTGGTGTAATGTGGTTTACATCATCTCTGTCAATTTGATGCAGTTACAGTGTCACTGATTTTGAAGGATTTGGACTAATGGCTCTGTGCATGCAGTGCATAGTGTATTCAGTGGAAAGCATGAGCCAATTTCCCTCATTTAATATTGACACAATGTAAGACACAAAAATCCACTGGAGCAGGTTAGGCTGTGCCGTTATTGTGGACTACCTTTGCTCTGGATTCAGGAGGACAGCAGTCAGTCAGGTTCATAGTTTTCTTGGCTGTTTTTCTGTAATTAATGTAATGTAATTCTCATATTGAAAATCTACAGTACGTATACCTCCGGATTTCACTGGCTATAACATATTGACTCTTCACTTTTCCAAGTGAGCATTCCAGCATGACTTTTGGATTGTGTTTAATAGGTGGAAAAATCCACTTCTGCATTAATTAATTACACAGAGATGATGTGGAGCACATTTTTCACACAGATTTTACAGCATGTCTCCATGGCATGTCTCCACTGCTAATCAAACTAAAAGCTCACCTGTTCAACCCTCCACCACGAGCCATTCTCACACAAAATATGAGAACTGATCTAATCAGACATTCACCATGAAGTAAAAAAAAATTTAACTGAACAAGTTTGTTTTTCTTTATACTTTTCTGTCTTAGCTTCACACTGAGTTCAGAGCCTTTTATCCCCCCTTTGATTCTACCTTTCACACCTGCTTGCTCAGCATCCTTTCATCTTCCGCACCTCTGCTCTGCTCTGCTTTCCACTCACTCCCACTCCCCTTTCCTCCGTCTGTCCTGTTGGTTTGTGGCCAACAGCATCAATCGTTATCTATCAGCAGTTAAGCTATTAGGTAGCATCAACACTGGAACCTTATCCATAATTCCCAGCAAGGTTTGCAACTGATTATGTGCAATTACTTTATCTCTTAACTAATGGCGGGTGTGGAGGATAAGGTTGAGGAGAGCAGGGTGGAGGAAAGGACAGGGGAGGCAGAGATGACTGTGGGGGAACTGTAGAACAGAGGAGAGCACTGGGACAGGCCTGAGGAGGGGGGATGCTATAAATATGAAACACACTGGATAACGTATGCTATAAAAAATCCAACTGGTGAGTGTGAACAAAACCACAGACAGAGAACTGGAAACTAAAATTTTTACATACACAACTGAACAGGGTCTTACCTTCCAATCATGGTAGAGTGCTGCTGCACAGCTGCCTCCAGCAGCCTCTCCAGAATGGTCCATTCCCCCATGGTGATGGAAAGGTGGCAGAGGTGTCAGAGGAAACAGGACTCGGGGAGCTGTCCCCTCTTACTGTGACGAACTCCTTCTCCTTCTTCTCAGGACTGCCTGGACTCTTGTGGACCTACTGGCCAGGGGAGTATGCATAGCTCCCCCCACTCCCCATCCCACACCAGCTCCCTTTTGACCTCTACACGTCACTGCGTCTTTGGCTGTGTGTGGGGGAGTGAGTGTCTTCTCCTGGGCCTGTCCTGCTGTGCTTCTCGTGCTAGTGGAGAAGAGGTGCTGAACTGATTGCCTCACCCCTCCTCTCTCCCTCTCTCCCTCAGTCACTCCCCCTCTCCTGTGCAGTGGTGCTTGTCCTCCCCCTGCCGCACCACTATGATCTACCCTACAACATACGCTATAGCTCACTGTATGACAGCCATGATCACCCTCTTGCTCTTTTCTCTTCTTCCTCTTCTGTCCCTGCCTTCGTCCTCCACCCTACCCCCAGGGCACTCCTTGTACTTCAGCTGCACTCCTTGCCATCAGTGGTGTGCTGCTTTTGTCCTTGCATTGTGCAGGATCTCTACCTTGTGTTGTACCCTTGCTATTCTAACCTAAAGACACACACACACTGCATATAGCTGATCCTCCTTGGCTCACCTCAGCAAACAGCACCATACACACACATGCTTGCACCCGGTGACAGCTCTGAATCTCACTCTCACACATCCTACTGAGGACTGCAGATCCACACCAGCACACAAAACTCCTGCCTACTGAATGTCATTTTACAACTGGAGGAATGGTTGCTCCCACTGCTCCGAGTGCTACAAGGACCCATAAAAACCTACATGCATACAATCAGAGCAGCACACACAAACGCACTGCCACGCAGCCCCTCAGTAATAAATCAACTGTTTTGCTGCATCCAGTGAGGCTGAACCCAGGCAGTATGCTTCAGACCTGCTGTCCTGTGTTGTCCCCCTGGCTGATTTCAGCACAGCCCGGTACCCAGAGTCATGTCTGCCGCAGAGAGTGAAGATGAAAAGCTGTCCTGTGAAACCTATTTCTGGGCTCCATCATCTTGCATCCCTCCTTCTCCTCCTGCTCTCCTTCAACCTTCACTCTCTTCTTCTCTCTTCCCTCCTTTGCTCACGTTTTTGTGCAGATCTCAGTCCTGCCAACTATTTCTACCTCTGTGTTCAGTCCTCATCTCTGCTTTGTGCTCTCCCTTCTCTGTTTCTGTGTCTCTTTCTTGCTCGTGGAAAAGCTCTATCTCTTTCACACTCTGTGAGCATGCAACAACTCCCACTCCTCCCCCCTCCTCCTCTCACAGATCTTCCTCCCTCCCTGTTCTTGTAAATGTGCTTGGATTGCTACCCTGCTTCACTTATGTTTGCAAGAACGCCTCCCACCATACTGCTGTGTCTGTTCCTGCCTGATGTTGCACAGAAAGAAAGGATTCAAGATGTAACAGTGCCTTCTGCCCTGTCTTCACGGCAATCCTTTGTTCCAGTCTGGAAGCTTGACGGTGTTTCCCATCTGTAAATGCTCTCTTCCTTTCTACAGTATTCTCATTCTCTGGCACACATCATCCTCAGGAGGAGGATTACAATTGTGGCTCTGCTCCACCCCATCCCCCCTCTATTTCCTCCCCTTCTCCATCGAATGGTATTGGTGATGACAACACACCTATTTTACCCTGACCCAACCCTCATGCCCTTTTTGTATTTCCTCTCCTCATCTTCTCTTTCTGTTCCTCATTCTGTCCATTTCCCCCTCCTCCAATACAACCTCTGTGTTCTCTCTCCCTCTCAGGAGAGATTTGCACCGTACTGTATTTTGCTGTGACATTGAAAACTGCATTCATTAGATTTATACTGAGCTGCTGTGGAAAAGGGACAGTCTCCCTTCAGTTACACACACAGATACAAGCTCATCTATACCTTAGGCAAACATAAGAAATCCAAAATTTGCATGTGCATCTTCCTCTGCAAGAGAGGAAATTAGATAAATAAAAGAACAAAATGTTTTAGCCCAGTATCAGTGAGTCATATCAAGGTTCTCCAGTCTAGGAGACTGAGTCAAGTTTTGCAGAAGTGAATGATGCAGTGGCATGACATGAGACCAGCACCCCAGAATGAAGTCATGGCTTAAAGTGACATGTTCAGTTAATCTGCACCATGTTTTCTAGTCCACAGTTTATTTGCTCCAGATTAAGGTGGATGTCTATAATGCCCTTTGGAAATTTTAATATCATCTTAACATCCTTTTCCACTGAATTCCTCAAAAAAAACTAGGAGTGAGGTGAGAAAATTAACAATTACAAACCTTAAACAACAACCTCTGTGTTTGTGAAGGAAGAGAAAAACTGAGTAAGAGAGAGACAGAGCGTTGAGGAGGATTTTGTTAGCTCAGCATCTCCAGCAGGGGGCTGAGGGTCTTTCTTTACCAAGGACATATGGCATAGGAGGGAACAGAGAGGGGAGGCAGGCAGTGGGGTGTTATGGCTCTAGTTTAGCAAGGCCTGGGTCACAAACAAAGCAGCTGAAACACTGGAAGCAGCCGGTCAGAGCTCCAAGATGAGACTTTAGAGCTGGATGGCACATGAGTGAAATAGAGGCGCAGGTGTGTCTTCAGTGACCTAGAACAGCTATCTCAAGCATGCATAAACTCACATACTGTACTCCTATAATCACAATGAAGCACACTACTGATAGTACAAATGCAATTTATATTGGTGCAAGTGTGTGGGTCCTCATGCAGGAAAAAAGCCAAATGTGCTTATTTTTACAGTGTATACTTACTACTAGAAAAAGAACTGCAAATATAATGTGTCTCATGTTTATATACTGTACATTCTGTAGGGATCAGACATATAAATGTACAATGGTTCTTTTCAGTTTGAAGTTATTTTTGATCTCTTAAGGATGCCTTTGTAATTATTAGCCATATATTTCCCTTTATGACTAATAATAACTGCACATTTCTAAAGAGATATCTAAGCTCATGTAATGTTTATAAGGGTTGTGCAAGAGTGCAGTTATCCTCATAGCAAAGGCACTTTAGAGTATCATTTTAATTAAGGTGTTCAAATGAAGTTATTCAAATGAATGCAGAGAGTAAAAGAAAACCTAAGCTTTGTCAGAAACTCAGCAAGATCCCTGTATGATTCCAGTTGATGAATATATTATAGTAGATTATTTCTGTGCTGAGCTGAAGAGACATCAATAATGAGACAAATACAAGGGACATATAGCATATTATAATTATGCAAAATGTCAGGAAAGCCATTGGCACACAACTGTATCTCACTTTTTTGCAGGCCTGAAGATAATATTCTACCTCTCGACCCTTCATTGCCAGTTCCCATCATACTGTCACAGATTTTCAGAAGAAACCAAATGACAGTCAAACCATCTGAGTTTATTTGGCCAGATTTATATGTCATAAATGTGTGTTTCTGATGCACTGTTTAATTGTTTCTCTTAACATTTTGTCCCTTTGTGAAACAGTACACTGTGCAAAGATGAAAAGTAGCCATCTGCTACTTTTGTCTGTCTTTGAGGGAAGCAGTAAATCCAGTCACCTTGTATGTTGCCAGATTTCAACATTCTGGATTGCAGCTGTTCAATGGGTTGAAAATCATAAGCAACTGAACAAGAGCTACAGTGAATCTTGTGAACATTTCAGCATGTTACCAATTTTAAAGCATCTGACATAAAAGATCTAACAAGTTAGGCTTCCTCTTTCACACCCAGATACTGCAAGCCATAACTGTGATTTAATTTTGTTCACAAAGATAATTAATGCCAGTCGGTTTATGTTGAAAGGTTGCCAGCAAAAAACTGACATAAATAGCAAATATAAGACTGTACAAGTGCAAATTGCAGCAATGTCTCAAAATAGAGTGCTCTGAACAAAATAAGTGTGTTTCTTTTGACACCAAGAAGGTGGCACACTGTCAAGGGAGGAGGAGGAAAAACTTTTAAGCATTCATGTAAAATATTATACAAGAGTCATATTAAATTGTTATATAAAAAAATACCCTGACATTATTAGTATTATATAGGGAAAAGCAAGAATCCACTAACTGTGTCAAGTTAATGGGTATGAGATAGATAGATAGATAGATAGATAGATAGATAGATAGATAGATAGATAGATAGATAGATAGATAGATAGATAGATAGATAGATAGATAGATAGAGTCACTGAGAATTTACAAGAAAATAAATAAAACATATTTGTGGCTTGGTGTTTCATGTTGAATACCAATTAAATACAAAAACTGATACAAATAAATGAATTTAGGATGTAATTTTAATATCAGCACAGGGCCCTTTCTAGCTCCTTGGGACATGATTGAGATTGTCTGTAGATGAGGATGGATGCGTAAGTTAGCCTTTAGCCCGTTGTTTGTGCAACCGATTTTTAAAAAAAAAAGAAGTGTTATACCATTTATCCCCTAATTGTGTCATTCGCTCTGCCACATGACATGACTACTCCTGCTATCCTCCTGTTTCTTTCTTCACCAGCAGAGGGCAGCATAACAGTTCACCTGACATGCCACACAGTGTTAACTTTGCATATGAAGAAGAAGAGTGGCTCCAGGCTAGTTAGCTGGTAGTGGTGTAGTCATGTAAGAAACTGAGAGTAATGCTAACTTGGGTGCAGTAGTTAGAGGGTTAATCAAAGGCGTATTGAAGCTTAAAGGAAGGATTGTGGAGTACGAAATCCAGCCAGGTGTCCCAAAAAGAGGGTAAAACCTTGCGGATCTTGGACCTTTGATATTTGAGAACATCTGGTTAGCTGGCTAGCTGGGGAGTTCACGAAAAGTAACGCCAAGGCTTGTTTCATACAGCCATGTCTTCGGCCGGAGACTTCGGAAACCCTCTAAGAAAATTTAAATTGGTCTTTCTCGGCGAACAGAGTGGTAAGTCTGACAATATCATTTAAAGTTTGACAATGTAGAACCTGAATTGTGCTCTGCATAAGATGTAGCTAACACCAGCGTTTTATGGTTTGGTGATGAGCGTTAACCAGATAGCAAGCTTAGCTAACAGTAGCTGCGTACCCTTAAACTTGGCACAGTGATAGCATTGCGACACTGCACCTTCCACGCTGGCTCCAAGGAAGTTTAGTTGAGTTTCTTCCAGTTAAGTAATGTCTGTGGAAATCGAGTTAATTGTCTGTTAGCAAACTTGCGTGGGGAGTTGTGATAATATAGCATTAACGGAGCCAGTGTCAACCACTGTCAATTATTGGTTAAGCGGTAAAGCAGACTGGTCATTATACTAGGTTGAATTGAAAGCACTCTCCATATTAATATTAGATGGATTTTGTTTGATTGTTACTTTCTAAGTAGAGGCTATAGTTCCCGGCGCAGTTTTATATATGACATGCTCTTTTTGTTGCTGTGTTCAGAGGAGTGCTTTCAATCTCGATTAAAGTCCACAACCTATTGCTGTACAGTGATTACACAGAGTAGATTGTCTACTCTGGGGACATTGCTGTGCATCAAATGCACCGCAGATGCGTCCCATTTTCCAAACCTGCCCAGTAGCATTCCTCTCTACTCATTTTCCACCCCAACTAAGCACAGGGTGTAGTTGTACAGCAAGAGATATAGGGTCAGGGAGACAATCATGAATCTGTTTTCAAAGGCAAAGGTGTGCTGTCCTCTATTATATTTTGCAGTGCAATGCTTCCACAGTGTTCCACTATTTCCACAGTTGTCTGTTTTGCATTACCAACACATCACACACTGTCAGCTGTATTTGGTAATAAATATAGAATTGAGAATGCAGCAACTCCAATTTTCTTATCTTCTGAAGCCATTTCTGATACCCCAGCTTTGGGCATTTGCTAAAATCATACTAGTATTAATTTTATTTGACATTTAAACTGTGTTCCTAACTGTATGGTAATCTTATGCTTTGCTGTGGGGTTGTTTCTTGTAATGTGACTCACCACCCCCATCAAGATCAGAGGGACAGACTGCTTGTCACACAGTCTGTGATCACCTGTGTGGTGCTTTGTAGCATTGTAAACAGCAGTGTTCGTCTGGGCATTTCGTCATCAGTTTAGTTACAGTGCAACTGAAAAATTGTTAGTGACAAGCATACGTCTAATTAACTTCTAATTATTCTGTTATCATTCTCCCATTCTTTGTTTATTGGCAGTTACAGCTGAAACGATTGTTTGCTTAATCAACCAAATCAGCAGAAATTGGCAACAAATTTTGACATAATTGTTTAGCAAAAAAACACAGCAGTTGGTTTCAGTCTACAAAATATGAGAATGATGCTGTCGTGTGTTTTTATATCATTAGAATTTGAATATCTTTGAGGCTGTGGGCTGTTGGTCAGACAAATAAAGCAGCTTGAAGAGGTGTTGGCATTGGGCTCTGTTAAATTGTAAAGGGCATTTTTGGCTGTTTACCAGCCTTTTATAAACTAACAATTAGTTAAATAAATACATAGCACTGCAGTGGAATTGAGATGAATATTCAAATAATCATTAGTTGTAGCACTATCCATTACTGTGTATATTTTGAGTAAGAAGTGATTAACCTACAAAACTGAAATGAAAGTGTAATCATTACACTTAGAGTACTTTGCTGTTTGTTTGTTTTTTTTAGTGGGGAAGACTTCGCTGATCACCAGGTTCATGTATGACAGCTTCGACAACACATACCAAGTGAGACGAAAGCCTTCACTTGATTTAATCTCCATTGATAATGTCCATATTATTCTGAAATCAAATGCGATTGGATTGAAGATGGATATGAATGAATGAAAGAATGACACTTTATTATAGACTCAAGGTCCAAATTAAAACAAATAGACAATAAAAGAACAATTAAAAGAAACAATAAAAATAAAATATGGATATTTAACTTCTTTTTTTTTTCAGGCCACAATAGGAATAGATTTCCTGTCAAAAACCATGTACCTTGAAGACAGAACAGTAAGTTTTATTTTCATCTCTACTAGTGTCAAATCAGTCGTCTTTGTCCAGACTGGGGAAATTATCTGTGGTGCCATTAATATCAACTACTACTCAGATGTTGTTGACTTTTTTTTCTTCAATAGTTTGTTTTGTAACAAATACAAACATTTGTACCACCGGATGGCGTACTCCCTTGATCATTTCTGCCTTTCTTTATTTGTTTCCTTGCTCAATGCAAGTTTTCTTTCTCTCCTTTCTACTCCTACATCTGTTGTCTTCATTTATGTTTTCAAATTAAACGCCTTACTTGATCAGGAGAGGTGGGTTGATGACAAGTGAAGGGTGATTATTTATTTATTTTCTTCCTTTCCAGGCCCAGACAGCTTGCTCTTTCTGGTGGTCATTCACTACCTGCATACACTACGCTTTCTCTACCTTTTTACATTTGTCTGACGCCCCCCGCCCCCCTAGTTTTCTTTTTGTCACCGCAACTTAACCTCATTTGTGACTGTTTGTTTGTTTTGTTTTATTTTCATCTTTTATTTTTTCTTTTTCTCTTTTATTTCTTGTTCCATCCCCTTCCTGCATCATAGATCAGGTTGCAGTTGTGGGACACGGCGGGGCAAGAGCGCTTTCGTAGCCTCATCCCGAGTTACATCAGAGACTCTGCTGCAGCTGTTGTTGTGTATGACATCACAAGTAGGTGGATGGCCTGCGCACTCAGATGTTTTAAAACGCGCCACATATGTCCCATCTGTTACATGTAAAGTTTGTAGTCATTCAGTGTCATTAATTATCAATTATCCAGGTGTGTACAGCGTGTCTCTGCTTCCTTATTGTCTTCCTGTCACAAGCATGGCTGTTCACACAGTTGAGGCTTTTCATCTCTTGAATAGTGATTTTCTGCTTCTTGTTTCTCACTTTTCTCTTTTTCAGATGTCAACTCCTTCCAGCAAACCACAAAATGGATTGATGATGTGAGAACAGAGAGAGGAAGTGATGTCATTATCATGTTGGTGGGGAACAAGACAGACCTTGCAGACAAAAGGTAATCTCATCCCTCCTCCTCCTGTCTCTGTAGTGCTCTCTCCATTCAGAGGATACTAATGAAGTCACTGATTGTTACTGCTGACCCCTCAGTACTGAGTTCCTTGGCCCTCTGTTATGCAGTATTGGATCAAAGTGTTCTCTCTGCTATTTGTGGATGTCAAAACTGTGATTGACTCTTAATTTTCCACACTCTATACATTCGTTTGTTTTTATTTTTCACCACACATTGCTCAAAGATATTGATTATTTGATCTTGCTCACAGTTATATTGTTATCAACTGTAGTAATGTTTGATGTCTTGTGAGATCCACTATCTACCTGTTTAATGAACTTGGCTTGTCTTCTGCTGTGCATCTATTGACCCCCTTATCTCCACAGGCAAGTATCTATTGAAGAGGGTGAGCGGAAAGCCAAAGAACTAAATGTAATGTTTATTGAGACTAGTGCAAAAGCAGGCTACAACGTAAAGCAGGTAAGAGTGTGTGTGAGTCGTGCTCTGTAGTCCTGCTGCAGATGCTGCTGCCTTGGCTCTGCCTCCAAAGGTCACCTGCTAGAATCAGAGGTTAAAGGTTTGGGGAGTTAGATGCTAATAGAAAATCTTGTGGAGTAACCTGGAAAAAAAACAGGAAAAAAAAAATCAACTGGACTTGGTTTTAGGTCGAAGACGTTTCACCTCTCATTCATGAAGCTTCACAAGATATGTCCGACTGGTGTTGAGCTGGAGATATTTATCACCATCGGTGGTGTTTCAGTCCTTTGATGGCCAACAATGTCCCCTAATGACTGAGTCGTTATAGCCTGGTATCGGTGAGTGTCGTTACCCGTCTTTGAACCCTCACCTGTGGACTGACACCTATTGTTCTGGTGGGCATGTTTGGGCAGAGATCTCAAAACAGAGTTGTAAATGGATGACAAGTTGTCTTAGTCCACCACCCCTATTTAGTGAGGGGTGTTCTGTTTGGACAAAAATAGCAACTTTAAGCCAGTGAACACCCTGCAGCAAAGACTGGTCCACCCGAAGGACAAAACGCCCAGATACAAGCAGGGTGATGTGGTGTATGCAATTAAGTGTAGTCAGGAGTGTAGCGACTTGTACATTGGTGAAACTAAGCAGCCGCTGCACAAACGCATGGCCCAACACAGGAGGGCCAACTCCAGTGGACCAGAGTCCGCAGTCCACCTCCACCTGGTGGTCAGCCAGTTTCCTTCTTGTCTTGCCGGTTATGTCACAACCACAAGGCCATACCTCTCCTACAGTCGTTACCTCTCTCACTCCTGTGGTTTTTTTGTTTGTTTGTTGTTTTTTTTTTTTACCGCACTGGAAGTGAGACCTTCTAAAATAGGCATTTCGGAAGTTTACCAGCTGTTCTAAACCGTTATCATTCATTTTCTGTCCAAATTTATTCCCACCTCTTACTTTTATGAAGCTCAGCCTGGATGACTTTTGGCCTTGAGCATGGGTGGCAGTAGCAGCAGGAAGGAGCACGACTTGTTAATCCATGTCAACATAATCACAGTCTGTACTTTTTCCCCTTTGTCTTCTTGTCAATGTCTGTGGTGTTATGTGTGTTGCCCTGTTGGTGTTTGTGTGTTGTGCGTGGTGACTGGTGGAACATCACAGACACATAACCACAGAGGAAGGAGAACAGAGAGCGAAAGAGATGAATGTTTTGTTTATTGAAACAAGTGCAAAGACAGGCTACAATGTCAAACAGGTAGAGCGTGTGCACCTCATTGTGTATGTGTGTGTTTATGTTGAGGGTGCGCTTGCTCTCTTTTGATTAGCTCCTATTTCACACACGCATGCATGCGTAAAGGTGTGCTTTAAACATGAGCTTCCTCTGGTCATGAGTGAGGTGTGTGGATTTGTTTTTCAAGACCTCTCCCACTTGCTAGAAGTAATGATTTGCACTTGTGCTTGATCACAGAGAGGCAGGTCATGGTTTCAAAACAAATGCTCCTGACTCCACTGATTTAGCATAACTATGTTTTTGTTGTGAAATCTACTGTCTATGAAATTCTGGTTCTATATGATGCTGCTTAGTCTGGGGTGAGCATGATGAGCATCATACATTCATCACACTTTTCTTAAAATTCGTGTGAATGCATTGATCACTTAACGTCCTCCAAGCTTTATCAGTGGAAGAGCTCAGTAAGGCACAGTTTCATCCTCCTTAGAAGCATGTCTGCAGTGCAGAAATGTGGTCTTCTAGTAGCTCAAACACATGCTGCTAAATTCAAATCATATTAGGAAAAGTTCTCTCGGGCATCTTCCTCTGTGCGAGCTGCAAACAGACCTACTTCTAAATCGTGTGTTGGAAATATATACAGCACGCTGTCTTGATTTCATCTTGTGTTTGTCATGCTGAGTATAACAATGTGTCTGGTTCTCTTCCCCTCCAGCTGTTCCGTCGTGTGGCAGCCGCCCTGCCTGGCATGGATACTACCCAGGACAAAAGTAGAGAGGACAGTATCCTTTTGTGTACATGTCAGAGTCTGACATGGCAGCAGAGTCGGGAGGCCTCCTCACTCTTGTATTGTGTTATATGGATGGTCCCCGCTAGGAATAAAATCTGCTGCAGCACTGACAGCTCACTGTTGTAGTTTAACCCATGTCTGCCACTCTCTGTTTTACTTGGTATAATATCAAAGGAGTGCCCCACCATTATTTGATTTTGATTGTGATATACTCGCCAGCAAAGGGCTTAAACTGGCTGTGTATGGCTTTTTGTTTTTTTAGTAAACTCCTTCACAGAGGTCAGCAGATGTAGGCAGTTTCCCAACCACTCCTGAAATATTACGAGATTTTTTTTTTTCTTCATTCAGTGTGTAGGATTTGTCATATAATTAGGAGCTCACACAATGGCTGTTTGTATTGTAATACCAGAATAAATTTAGTATCAAATTATTATTCAGCTCTGTACCTTGTCATGTCTTGCAGTAGAAAACAAATGTGAAACAAATTTCTACATATGCAGAAAACTTTAAAATGCAATTTCTTTTAAATAAGGGGTGTAAAACTGTTGTCTAAATTTGTTTTCTAACAACCTCGTGCATTTCAGAGTTGTATTCTTCCTGTTCTGTGATTTTCCTTAACACCTAAACCCTTCAGTGATTGACATTAAACTGGAGAAGCCACCAGAGCAACCTGTCAGTGATGGAGGCTGTCCCTGCTAATGCCAGCCTATGCCATGGCTAAATATTTCTCCTTCTGGCTTTTCCTCAATCCCAGTTGGTATTTCTGTACCTGTACCCGTCACTACACCCGCCTATCTCCCAGCCTGAAAAACAACACTACATTCTTGCCATTCTGGAAACATGCACTCTCATCAAGGTGTTCTGAAAAGTCATTTAAATTGAATGTTTGCACTGTAACACACACACACAACAGTATTCACAGCTGGAGCTCAGCCTTATTCACTGAGCTCCTGTTGTCTGGCATTTCAGATGGAAATGGTGGCAGAAGACTGACTCATATTGCTGTAGTTTGTGTCTAAAGATGACTTTTTGAACCAATCTTAAAAAAATGTTTGACATCAAATCAAGCTATGTGTTTCAGTGAGGATTTTCTTTGAAAAGTAAAATGTTTCTTTTAGCGTCATAAGCACAATGTGGATGTGTGCATTTGTCAGTTAACATAGTTTGTGCACTTGCAATTGACTGGCTATTTATTCCTAAATTGTGTTGTCAGCAAACCATTATTTTTAAACTGTTTGGAGTAATATGTGGAAATGGTTGCAGTTGGTTGAAGTAAACATTATCATATCTGGGAGATCGCATTGCTGACATATTCTACGTACTCATGATGCAGCTGTATTTCACAGTGGCAGCCATGAGCTTGAGCTGCCTGTACCAGCAGAATCACAGTTCTCCCACTATAGACCAGCATGATATGACAGGCACACAGCACCACTTGGTCACAAACCAGCACAAACACATGACCCCTACTATAAGAACAACCCTATCACTACACAATCTACATTTGTCCTTCCTCTTTTCCCACACTTGTTTCTTGAGATGAGTTATTTTTACATTGGCTTCCATTTTCTATTACCTTTTATTTGGATATATCTTCTTTTTTGAGACTACAGCTGTGGTAGAATAAAAGTCTTTGATAGTGTTTGAGGAAAATGTTCCCATGTTTTAAGAGTCATAATCACAAAACCCAACATAAACATTAGATGTGATCTATGCCTTTTGGGATTTAATTGTAGAGGGTTTTCTTGGCTTTGGATTTAGCTAGTTAAGTTTGGTATGATGTTTTATGAACACTTTACAGATTGTTTGCTTGTTTTATTATTATTTTTTTGGCATTGATCATTTGTTAATGATTATACTACATGTGTATTTAATCCACAATGACCTGTAATATTTATTTCTGTTGGATTCATGCATCTTTTTTATGGCTGTTAATATCCTCTTCTGGTATGAGTCCAGAATTGCTGAAATATGCATCCATCTGGACCACCTTTAACAGAATCAGTAGAGGGCATTGGCTGCTCTCTCTACCACCTCTAAATGGAAACTTCATACTGATAATACCGTGCAATTTTTGTGATCTTATGGAGGGCAGTCTGATTTGTATAGTGTAGGAGTCCTTAACGTTTGTCTGAAATGATTTTAAATGAAAGAATAAAAATAAACTTGTCACCACTGTTAGATTTTGTGAAAAGCTTATTACAGTTGTAAGAGTTGGGCCTCACTTTTAAGTTACATTTCTGAATTGTAAATCAAAGGATAAATGACATCAATGTCACGGAGATGTAGTTCTGTTTCCATTAAATTTTCAGCCTGGCTCTAGGCTGTGGTGATAAAGTATTAGCCACAGGAACACGAGAGCATGGCCTGAGAAGTGTTCCTGTAGGTGTGAAGCAGGACTGAATAACTGATAGTAATGAGCCTGTTTATCTATCCTGCTGGTCAGATATAATTGGTGGGCTTATTTCACAGCAGATATTTTGACTTGTCATTGCAGGAACAACACATGCAGGACTAATGTTAGTGATGATGGTTCTATGCCTGGCATTCATGTTACATGGGCATTACTTGCACCTAACTGGGATCCAGTCTATATCCATACTTGAATGTTGGCCTCGTGTAGCATGAAGGGAGATTAGGCCAGTCAACCTGTAGCAAAGAAGTTCACAGAACTGCCCCAGGCTCACAGCATGTTAACTATAATATAAACTAATTTGGGTTCTACATCATCTATTCTATACTGAGCTTCCATTTGAATGCTCTCCAATTCTTTGGCACATTTAATTGTATATTATGGACTGATTGTACACCCACCTTTTGGAATGGCCTTTTGTCAGCCAAGTGTGGTAGAATTTTATTCTTCAAACATGGTACATGCACCTCCAAGCATCTGGCCAGTGGTGCAGGACAAACCTTGGAAAGGTAAGCACTACCAGTAAAGGCTACTGCACTCAATCAGTTGTATCTATTCTATTGCGGCAGGCACCCAGTAATAAACCACCACATTATACACACAAACATATGAGTGACATTTTGTCCGTCTTTTGTATGCAGTTCCTGGATGTAGCTGTGGATTTTGTTGCTTCTGGTTGCAAGTCTCGCGAGAGTTTTCAAGCACTCGTTGCCCCGGTAACGAAGCTAAACGCCTGCCGCCCTGTGTTTTTAGCTAGCTAGTAAATTTAGTCAGATAAGTCTTACACACTAAGTTTAGTTTAGATACGGTAGTTCTAAGCATTTAATTTTATGATGGGTTTTGATTATTATGAGACGCTGGAAATAAACAGAAATGCAAACGACGCAGATATCAAAAAGGCGTAAGTCATATTAAACTACCAACAGTGAAGTTGCTCATTACCTAACATAGCTGTTAAAATTTAAACCTGCACACAGATTTTTTTTAAAAATAAGTATATAATATGTTGTGTTTATTAGGCTACCACAGCCCTCCTCTTTTGTCTTCCCAGATATCGACGTCTTGCACTGAAGTTTCACCCGAGCAGAACCAGAGAAGCTGGAAGTACAGAGAAGTTCAGTCAGCTAGGTGAAGCCTACGATGTTTTGAGCGACCGTAAGTAGAAGCAAAGGAAGACTGAGGTTGTTTAACCTTGAATGATGGGCTTTTTAATACAATCCACATATGAAAATGGTGTAAAAAAACTTATTGTATTGTTCAGTGATACATTTTGTGTGCTTAATTTGTCTAAGCTATAATTAAAGTTATAATTAATAATTATAATACTTAAAGTTTTCGGGGGAATCTACAGTACACTACATACATATGCAATTAAATCTATAAAATTATAGACCTATTACCACAGTATCAGTATTTTATAAGGCCGATATTTTGACAGTACAGACTATATATTTCTTTGTGACAGCTCGAAAAAAGGCAACCTATGACAAGTTTGGTGAGGAGGGTTTAAAAGGTGGCATCCCAGCTGAGTTTGGCAGCGGTGGGGCTTGGTCATCTAGATATGCCTACCACGGGAATCCAGACAAAACATTCAGACAGTTTTTCGGAGGCGACAACCCATTTGCGGGTGAGGAAAGGAGAAATAAAGACCATGCATTGAATGTTCTTTTTCATGTTGATTACCACTTGCATTAATCTTTTTTTTTTATTACTAGACTTCTATACAAATGATGAACCACTACAGTTTGGTGGCCTGCAACCAGGAGTAGTGAAGACACAAGATCCCTCAATAGAGAGAGACCTTCATTTGGCCCTAGACGATCTCTTTAATGGATGCACAAAAAAGATGAAGATATCCCGCAGGGTAAGAGCTACAGTTTTTTTACTGCTGTCCCATCCTACAGTTAACGTTAATCACACCAAGAAGTACCAATTGACACACACAGGCTCACTCGCATAAAAACTAGTTAGATGTAGCTGTTCATTAACCACACTGAGTGAATGCATTTATTAATTTTTGCCTTATTTGTTTTGCAGGTTATGAATGAGGATGGATTTACATCTAGTATCAAAGACAAAATACTAACTATAGATGTAAAGCCTGGGTGGAAAGAAGGCACAAGAATCATTTTTTCCAAAGAAGGAGATCAGGTACAAAAAAAACAACTCCACAACACAATTTTCTGTTGTGATTTAAGACAGCTATCAGAAAGGTCACTAATGACTCATCTAATCTGCTGTCTGTGGAGCAACATTGTGTTTTCACTGGACATTATGCATTGCCACCAATAGGTGGCATCAGCAGATCTTTTTCTTAAAAAGGTCTCTTTCAAGTTGCTCACACATGCTCTTTTAAATCAAACTACAGGGCACTGAGGGACTTGGCAATTTGCTCTCCTTTACTTCTTTTATTTTGTTTGATATGATTTCATCTATTTGGTCAAGACAATGTATTTGTATAAAGCCTTGTTAATCCACTCTGCATAGTAACAGCTTAATACTAAGTCATGTTTTTGGGGAGAAAGCCTGAAGACAAAGTAATCATTTTGCTGTAATCATTCATAGTGCGACAAAAGAATCATCCTCTGTTTGTAAGACAGCATAATGACCTGTTCTACAAGGCCCAGATCTCTCTGGAGATGGTGAGTCATATTAGGGAAGGTTTGATCACCAGTCATCCTTAAATATTTGGTTTAGGCAGAATAAACACTGAAACAAAAAACCTTTCTCACAGGCCTTGACTGGTTTCTCTGTGGATGTGGAGACACTAGACGGAAGGCTACTCTGTATTCCCATCAATGACATTGTGCAGTAAGAGCTTTCCCATATTGTGGCCAAAATGTTGTAACCCTATTATGTTGGCGTTTATCTCAGACACTCTAAAAGCTGAATGAATTAAACATTAAGATCAGACAAGAGATGATCATAATCAAAAACAGCACTTTATATTAACCATCCACCTAAACCTGGCCGTTTCTAGAATAATGTGTTTTGGATTTGTAGATTACCTTCATCAATTACTATTTCCCTGTCTCTGATTTGTTTCTCATATCACACCAGCCCTACATACAAAAAAACAGTGACAGGAGAGGGAATGCCGCTGTCCCAGGATCCATCCCAGAGAGGAAACCTCATTATCACCTTTGACATCCAGTTTCCAGAGAAGCTCTCTGCTGAGAGGAAGCACCTGATCAAACAAGCTCTAGCTTTGAAGTGTTGATCACATTTTAAATACATTGCTGTTCTACTACTACTGATTTTTTGTAATTACATTTTGTAATTTTTACAATCTTTTGAGATGAAAGATACACTAGGAGGCAATAAAAATCAAAAAAAATATGTAAATGGCGACACTGTGCTGCGACTTAAGCCTTATGCAACACAGTAATGATTACTGTGTAGTTGTGCAGCTGTGATTTGCTGTTGTCATGGCTCGTTTCAGTTGCTCATATGTCACAAACATCACCACATTCCAGGAGCCCAGGCGTAAGAATGATGGCATGAACCTCAAGAACAAGAAAACAGACAAACAACATGACAGATTGCCGATCATATTCACAACTGTCATTATGTTTACAGTCACTAGGCTCCAATATTGCCAGTGTATTTCATGCTTACCCCTTATAAAAGGCAAGGGGTCCCTCTTTGGTCATCATGTTGGCAGCACAGGTTAGGACACTGTTGTACTGGCCAAGAGAGGAGTTCATATATCTGGTCTTGACCACATCAACTGGAGATGCAATCAGTGTTGTGCATAACCCTGCACCAAAGGCTGATACAAAGTGGCAGGGCAGATTGTCTGTGAAGTAAAGACTAAGTTACTACTCCCAGGAGAAAACACCTCATACATTACACCATGTCTCTGAATCCTGTTGGGCTGTAGCTATTATACCTGTCAGGGGAGTGGACCGAAGGAGTGTTTCCTTGATAAAGTCATACGTAACCAGTTCTGTGCAGTTAACAATTGCACTACGTGCGATGTTTGGAGCTGTACCTGTGTGACAGTGTAATATAATTACTTAAAAAATATTTATCACAGGAAATTAAAGAATAACCTTCTTAAGCTCAAGTTACCTTTCCACAGACCACGAATGCCTTCTTCTTTAGCGATGGTCTTGTAAGCATCGATGGTGCTACAGTAGTGTCTGGCGTGTGTGGAAGACCTGGCCTGTGCCTGAAAGCGGACTTTGACCACATCTGTGGGCTGAGCAAAAGCAACTGCCATGGCCCCAGTGGTACAGCCCGCAAGCAGGCGAGTGCCGATGCCAGCATCTGAACAAGAAAAGAGGGGAAATGTCATCCCTGATTAGTGCAGGACTCCCACAGCTAGATTTCAGACTTACGGTCAGAGCCTTTAGTGTAGAACTGTTTCACTGAGTCATAGAGGCCAATACGGACAGAGGCAAAGCCCATCTGCCTCTGGAGTCCTGCCACCAGTCCTCTGTAAAGACTTCTGGGCCCCTCTGTACGCACCATGGTGGTGATAGTGCCAAATACTCCTCGATAGTTCACTGCAGATCCTTTCCCTGCAGCTGCTGAGGCTCTGGCCTCCCCTTGGATCTGTGTAGGATAAAAAGTAATAAAAGAAGAAAGGAATGGGGATTTCAGTACAAAGTGGGTTTTAGGCACTAAGAAACACATGTACACTCTTATTTGTCTAATGCTAATCAAATCTACAGTACAGTACTGTGTAAAAATCTTAGGCCACCATTTGTTTTGCTGTTTTAGCAGGGTTGTAATGATAATTGATATGTATTTCTTAGTCTATTAAGATATAACCAGAAAATATATAGACAATATTAAAAATCACAAAGTGGCTTCTACAGTCCAAAGTCAGTATTTAGTGTAACCTCCCTTTGCATTTGGCACAGCTTAAATTCTTTTGGGGAGACTGTCTTGAAGTCTTGAAACCATGACAGACCCTCCACCATGTTTCACTGAATTACTATTCTGATAAATACATATACAGTATGTAGTCATAACACTGCAAAAACAACAAATCTAATGGTGGCCTAAGACTTTTGCACAGTACTGCAGATGTATATACTGTATGTGAAAATGCAATACCAGAATCTGTTAATGGGAAGCACGTTTATATTCACATAAAAACTTTTTTTTTTTACCTGCAGTCGAACTTTGGCTGTGTCCAGGGGAAAGGTAAGCAGGTCAGCAATGCATGCTGCAGTTCCTGCTCCTACAAACTTCACAGCTGCTGAGGGAGCCACATCTGCAGGTCCAACTTTAACCATTTTGATCAGTGTAAGATTCAGGAGTGGCTTATTAATTTGGACAGGACAAGAGGCTCCTCCAAATTCAGAGAAAAAAAAGACACAAATGCCAAGACTGATATATTTCATAGTGACAGTGCATTTCTAATTAATAATGGAATCTCAATCTGCCAAGCAGCAGAACATATTTACTTATTTGCTTGTTTCACATGATACAATTGTGTTAATGTGCTACTCTAATGATTTTGATTTGATTTGATTTATTCTTTCAAGCATGTAAAAGCACTTGATATGACAACACACATAATTTTACACATAATCCAATATCAATGTGCTTATACCTAGTACATGCTTGAATGGAGTAGGAAGAAGTCAGACTTATCCAGTCCTACCCCATGACATCATCTTACCATCATTGGTTTCCAAGCAGTAAATGATTCACTACTACCCCCACACATATTATACTAAAAAAAAGATTATGTGTTAACATTCTTACATCACACAAGTAAAATACTAAAGAATTATTACAAAATGTACACCACACCCACAATGTTCCATGTAATTAATCACTGAGCCTGTTCTTGCATATATCTTGATTGACACATACCTTTATATTTATGTTTAAACTCGTCAATTCTATGACTATTTTTTATGTCCACACTTAAATTATTCCATAGTTTTACCCCACTTATGGAAATACAAAATCTTTTTTTGGTTGTACATATAGCATGAATTCTTAAATTTAACTGACCCCTTAAATTGTATCCCCCTTCCCTTTCATTAAATAGTTTTTGAATTCCACCAGGTAATAAATTGTTCCTGGCTTTATACATAAACACTGCTTAATGATGCTCATTAAACAAAAGTGATTAGTGCTGCTAAATGAGAGACTGCTGATTAATATATTCTATTCAGACAGGAAAAGTTTGTCAACCCTCTTTTGGACTTAAAAAAATCAGCAGCACAAATACAACATTTCTCTGTTGGTTATTATTTCTTACCTTTATTGGAGCAATTTAGGACAGAAAGGTCAGGCCTCTTTAAAGGTGTCTCTTTGACTAAACATTGTCCCAGCTATAAATTCATTTCCTTGTTTTTCCATAGAAGATTGTTCAAAAGTGATGAGCCTTAAATTCATACTCCAAATCCTGGGAAACCAACAGTAGATTAAAATATGGCATTGCAGTGTAACATATTATTAGTAATAATACCAATATTCCAAATCATGTTAGCGTTTGGTTGTACCTGGTATTGGTTCCTGGAAGTTAAATGCTGGTAAAATGTCAGTCCTCAAGTGACAACAGCCAAAAGAAGTCGGTTGAATGGACAGAATGCGGCAGTGTGAGGAAGATCCGCCTCTATAAATAGTGCCATAATGTTACATCATGGCAGTTTTGTTACACTGTGGCATGACTTGTCGTGCTGGGGCCCCACCCCATTGTATTTGCTGTACGCAGGTCAGATGACTTGTATGTGACACAGATGTTGGAACATGAGAGAGAAGCCTCTCTTGTCTTAACTTCATAATCAAGCTTCCTCTATCTTGTCTCCTCGGGCCAACAACAATCATTCAAAACCAGAGTTGTGAATGATTTATTAGACTCAGTATTTTGACAGTTGACTGTTTTGTGACAATAAACTTTTGCTTAACATCTGATTTTCTAACTTGCTAAAGCACATTTAGATAGGTCAATATGTGTTTAAAGGTCAGCAGTATTGTAATCCAGAGTGCACAGACGTGCAGAGCAAGTGCTGACTCATTCTGAAAACGCAAGAACACACAATAATTTACTGACTAAATTATATCTGAATGTTCAGACCTGTTAACAGCTTTTTTTTTTGTTGTTGTTGTTGTGATCCATGACCTGTTGCTCCTGCACTGAAAGGCTGTTATAAAATAATGTTAGTGAAGTTGTAGAATAAGTAGTTGTAGACTTATAATATGAAATATATGGATTGTAAATTGCAATGCTCAAGCTCAAATACAGAGTCCTTGTCCTTTGTATATCTGACAATGCAGGTATGAAGCTGCAGCATCAGGTTTATATGATTCTGGAAATAATCCAAACCCAGTGAAAGCCCTCTTAAAAATGACATTTATACAGAGGTCATTGCAACAGGAAAACCTTACTGTATTCTTTGTTTCAGTTACATGATTCCACAGCTCTGCTTTCAGGGCGCCACCTGCTGAGATGTTCAGATGAGTGTACTTGTGTCCGCCACGGCTTCACGCATTGAACTTTGTTCTAAAAATAATCACCAATTTTGCTTTTTGACTGGGTCTTCAAGAACATGTTGATAGGAGGAAATAAGTCTGGTAACTTCCACAGATATACTGACCTAAATACCATGCTGCATTTATATTTACATGTTTTGAAGCCTTGTTTTCTGGTATACAGTCTTTCCCAAATCAGAAGGACAAAAACTCACATAGATTTCATAGAGAAAAAGTCATGTTTGATTATTTGACAACAGTCTGTTTTACTGTAAAACCTAATTTCACAAAAATATATTGGGAAGAAACAACTTACAGTAATACTTTAATCATCAAATTATGTTTTGTAATAAATCCTGATTAATTGTTACACTTGCCCTCAGACTTTGAGACGATGTACACTACTGAATTCTGCCAAAGTAAAACATAAATGCCCTACTAAATATTACGTACTACTTAAATCCCAACATGTTCCACATTCTGTAAACAGATAGATAGATAGACATAGTTTTTTAAATTACATTTTATTCATTTTAACATTATTTATCATTGTGTACAACATATTTATGACTTATTGACCTGCAATAAATCATGCTAATTACAACAATCAGGACATAGTTTAACCACATTACACATACAATAAACAATGTAAAAAGTCCACAATACATAAGACAAAATAAGGTTTGCAGAAATTACCTATTTAGGTTTGTGTGGTCAGTTTAGGTTTGTCTGTCTTAAATAGCACTGCATGCAACATTATGGTCTTGCAGTTCATTCACTTGTAAACATGAAAATCCATCTTCACTGTGAACATGTAAACACATTGATCATGGTTTAAGTTAGGAGATAGAAACATATCCTTATGGAATTACCCTTTCACATATGTCTGTTACACAAAAAAATAATGTAACAAGAAGAGAAGATGCCAGAGAGTTTAGGAAGTTCGCTTTAGATTTGTCAAAGGTGCTCTTTAGAAAAAGGGACCAAAAATTGTCAAATGAAAAGCGAAGAAATCCAGGGCACTCCTCTTGAAATGAATTTAAAAGCTTTTATTCAGATGACTCTTATACTGAGGATTAGGAACAATACATGCTGAAAAGGTGGGTTACAGCCGACACATAGTGGTAAAAAAAGCTGTCTTCTTCAAGGTGTGACAAAAATAAGTGTTTTTGTAAGGGAGGCATCTGCCGTTACAACTTATAATAGAGTACCTTTATTGTCATTGCACTTTTTTAGTACAATGAAACTACAATGCATAATATCTCCTTATACCTGAATCTTTGAAACATCCTGGTACTGCAATGATGCCAACAGATTATGTGTTCTTTCTGGAAGTCGAAGAGCTACAGCTCCCTGCCCTGAGTCTTTGTAATGTGATGAAGTCCACGCTGGACTGAGGCACACTGGTGGGACCATGGGATGCTGAAACAATTTTGAAGGTCCCTTTTTGCACCTGTTTTTACATTTCTCCTTTTCCAAACATGGGTCACCACCTGCATCATAGTGAAGGCCAGGTTGCTGTGTCTGTGCAGTCCTGTCACAAGACAGGCCAAGATTAAAGTGGTGACTCCCAGTACTGTTGTGCTCTGGTCATACCCCGTTTAATTTGTTCATACGACACAAACATGACAATGTTCCAGGATCCCAGTCGCAGGAAAGAAGGTATGAACCTAATGGAGACAAATGAAGGAAACGTGAAGAAGTGTTGCAAACTGGTTATTTTACTGTTGTTCAGTTCACTGCCATGTTAGTGTGTGTTTACCCTTTATAGAAGGCAGTAGGTCCTTCATTTTTCAGCATGGTGAGCGCACAGTTGATTGCGCTCCTGTACTGGCTAGCCTCTGAGTTCATGAACCGTGTTTTGACTACATCCACAGGAGAAGCCACAACCGTTGCGCAGAAGCCTGCACCAAAGGCAGCTGTGAAGTGGCACGGCAGGTTGTCTACAAGTGAACAGAAACAACGTCCTTCTACAGTATTTGCTTTTTTGTCATTTAATTTGGTTATGTAAAAGGTTGTAGCACTTCCCCTCACCTGTCATTAGGCCATACTTCAGGATGAGTTCTTTGATCATGTCATAGGTCACCAGCTCTGCACAGTTTACAATGGCATTACGGGTGATGTTGGGCATGCAGCCTGGAAGAAGAGAATAGGATGGTTCAAAACCCAGTGGAAGAAATTTTCATAATAATTAATAAATATAATTTTTGTTTGGGTAAAATTTGAAGTAAAAATGGTAAGCACCTTTCCAAAGCCCCCGTACTCCTTCATCTCGTGCAATCGTCCTGTAAGCATCCAGGGTGCCGTTGTATCTCCGCTCACCATCAACAAGTCGTATCTGGGCTTGAAAACGTACCTTCACCACATCTGTTGGCTGTGCAAAAGCCACAGCCATGGCTCCTGTGGTACAACCCGCCATGAGGCAAGGAACAATCCCAGTGCCTGTACAGCATGTGCACATCAGTCACAATGAAGCAGTGGGGAAAGAAACTACTTTTTGTTTAACACAAGAATCCTCATGTTATGAAACTCACTCTCAGAGCATGTTGAGTAGAATTGTTTCATGGAGTCATAGAGGCCGATCCGGACAGAGGCGAAGCTCATCTGTCTCTGGAGTCCTGCCACCAGTCCGTTGTACAGACTCCTGGGCCCCTCTGTGCGTACCATGGTGGTGATGGTGCCAAACACTCCGCGATACTTTGCTGCACTGGCCCCTTCGACTTTCCAAGACTCTCCCTGAATCTGGGCATTAGGATGACATTCAAGGATTCTTAGCAACAGGTTACAACAAGTTTAATAAGATATGCATGGAACAAGATCTAAGGTCAGAATGTGTGAACCTTACTGAAATATTCTGCATCTAACCTGTAGTCTGACTTTGGCAGTGTCCAGGGGAAAGGTGATAAGGTCAGCAATGCAGGCTGAAGTGCCTGCTCCAAAGAACTTAACTGCCACAGAGGGCACCACATCTTTGGGTTTCATGCCAACCATTTCTGCACCTGGGTTCATGACACAATGGAAAAATCTTCTTGTAAAGCTATTTGTTCAAGGCTTCTGTGTATATCACATCACACACACCAAACAAACTCATTACTAAGCTCAGAATAACAGACACAAACACATGAAATATAACTGTTCATATTTTCGCACATTGTATAAGTTTTCGTTGCTCTGATTTTAACATCTAACTGGTAAAACTTCAAGTAATATTTAGTGTATAGGGTATATTAGTGTAATAGGGTTTGTAAAGGGTGTATTAGTAATAGTTTGTGTCCATGCTAAAAATTGTGCATACCTTAAAATGAAGGTAAAGAAAAACCTCAAGTTTTTTCAAGAATTACACTAGTCTTTCGAAGAGGTTCCGTTCTGGGAATGCCTTCGGCCATAAACTCTGTTTGAAATGAGCCAGTCACCATACCACCACTCACTGAGAAAACAAGCATTTATCATTTACTTGTGGTCCAAGGAGAGTTTGTGCTGTGGTTTCATGCATTTCATCAGTTGTTTAATCATTATGAGATACTGACTGATACATCATACTGTATAAGACAATCATGCAAAAATACACTTATTATATGTATTTGTAATATTGTAAATGCACTATAGGTTGAGTCTGAGCCTATGAAAATGAGAATCATTATTAGTTTACCTGAATAGTTTTCCAATAAGGTGATAGTCCAGCAAGGTGGAAAGAAAATAGAGTCCTTTAGGTTGTTAGTCCCGTTCCTGTCCTTGTCTCATGCAGTAAGTGAACTGTTTCAGAGTAAGCTCTCAAATTTATAGGCACCTTTTCACATGACCCCAGGGCAGCTTGACAAGAGTACACACCTGTTATGGTAATCTCATGTTTACCATGGTCTGTGAGACACAGATGATATTTGATCACTTGTTGATTTGTTGAGAACTGTGTCCTTATGGTAGCCTGGTATGGACTTGCATACTATGAGCATGATGAACCTGAGCTAGTTTCACACTAAAGCCTATTTGCTTAAAAGACTGTGAATATATTTAGCTCAAGTTTCAAACTTAGAGCATGGAATTTATACAGTATTTCAACTTTAACAACTTTGTACTGATACCATCTCATATTGCTACCCTAAAAAGGAGGCTCATGGCTTATATGGGTTGATACCTATATGGCCAATCCGACTGAGAGACCTGTCTGGATTCTCTAAATGTTTTTATGGGGCATTTGACCGACTGACAAAAGCTGTCAGGTGGATAACATTTGCACTACATCCTTTTCTCCTCACAGTAACATGTAGAACTAATTCAGGAATTTTATGCATTTCCCTGCCCTTCTTTCCTCTAAGTAATAAAGTTATGCAGTTATATTATGCAGTCATTCAAGCCATTAGCATTTCTTCAGGCAAACAGCATCTAAGTAGAGGATAAGGATAATAAGGATAATCACCTTTATTGGCCAAGTATGTTACACACAAGGAATTTGTTTCCGGTACAGAACCAGACTGGATGCTTCATTATAACATGCACCACCAATGTTTTCCCATATTCTACTGATTTATCTGTTTGTCTTTATACTCTGTGTTTCTGAATACTTGTATAGACATTACTGATACAGTGGTTTTATATTCCATGTGACAAGTTTCCACTGAAGCTGTTTTCATAAACAAGGCAGATGAAAAGGCCTTCCCCTTTGACAGATGACAGATATTTTTTATCTGTAAAGCTTGTCTTTTCACCCTTTTCTGTCTTAGCTCTGGTTGTTACCAGCTATGCTCTTCCAAGTGGTTGCTTTTTTAATGTACCTCAAATTTTTACAGATATGGGGGAAACTGCATTTTTCTATTATGCACACTGGTCATGGAATAACTTACAGAAAGATCTACAGTTAGGCACATTCATATCCATTGTAGAATTTAAGGGTATCATAAAGAATTTGGTGAAGGAGACATACAGATGTTTTTCTTGAGAGACCATTGTTCTTATCTTGAATAAATTTTTTTGCAGATCTTGTTGTATGTGTTGGATTTTAAAATACTATAAATTTGTATGGCTGCTACCTTGGCCAGGTCTTCCTTGAAAAGGAGATCTTGATCTCAGTGGGACCTGCTGGTAAAATAAAGGTAACCTTTAAAAAAAAACCTTTCTTTTCTTTAGTATTTGCAGACAGAAAATGGTTAAAACCTAACTCCATGACCTCCAGGAATCAAACAGAAGAAAAGGGGCACTGCTTTCATCACCTGCTTTCATTAGTTGGCTGGTGCTATAAATGGGTTTCTCATAATACCATGTGAGTAACCTTTGAAGACAGCCAGACCAGTCAACTGCTCCCTGGTCTGGCTTTGACCAGTCTGCAGTGGTTTCCCCTATAGCCTGAAAATGAAACTGAGCTGACAGACTTAGCTAATACTTTCCTGTCCTGTCCTTTACACTATAAATAAATACCATGACACTATAAATACAGTCAGGCACTGCGTCACTTAAGCGTCAGCAGAACACAGAAGAGTACAGCCCACCATTGAACAAATCACTGCTCTGGCTTCAACCAGCCTGCAATGACCTTCCTCATAGCCCCTGAACGTAAAACTGAACAGGCAAACTGATTTCCCCCTTTCCCTCAGTGACAGAGCTTGTTGTGAGCACTTCATTTAAAAAAATTATTAAGTATTAAAGCAATTATTTGATAAAAGAGGAAGGAAAATCAAAATAGCTTTCAAGTGGAGTCATGTGTCTGTGGGCTATAGAATAAGGCTTAATGGGTTATATAAAGTATATGCAATAAACACATTCTTTTTCTGACCCTGAGCCAGTATAACTGACAGTAATGTTAGTTGGTTTTGTTCATTGGATCTTTAAAAATATTTACTACATAACAATTCTGAGCCATTTTTACTTGATCTGAGCTTTTAAAGTATTTGACCTAGCTTGCCATCTGCTTTTGGAATTCATTTAAACACAGTGTTAGGTATTTTTAGTCAGATAGAAATTGGATAGATACTTTATGTATTAGAAATGTTTAGTGGAGATAGGATGTCTAGTTAGACTGTTAAATGCTTAGGCATGCTTATGAGTTTCTACAGGGTACATCTGGTCAAGGATAACTAGAGAGAAGAGTTGATGACTGTCAGCAGACAGGATGTTTAATATTATTATTATGACATGTATAACTGTAGCCTTAGTCATAATATGTTCTTATGTTTAAGTCACGACATGTACTAGAAGTCTGTGAGAATGTTTTTAGCTACACACCACTTAATCAACAGACACACACATTGACACATTGACACATTGATTTGCTTCATGTTTCGACTACTGCTATGGCCAGCTGCAAAGCTGGTATGAGAGACGTCTCTGGTGCCAGCTGCAAAGCTGGTAACAGAGACGTCTCGGTTGACGTTCCTGTGTAGTATGGGGCTAGCCCAACCGAAGGGATATCATGTATAGGCCTGGTGGGTTCAGGGTCTTTCATCTTACATCTGCCTGCGTGCAGTATGGAGGTGCAAGATACCGGAGCGTGTAATGTTAATTTTACCTGTGATCTTCTGCACTGTTTTGAAGTTACTTGGACTGTCTCGTCTCTCAGAGTTAGTATGATAAAAAAGTACCGGGTACAACAACAGGATTGTACCGCATGTTTAAATGAAGCAGTATTTCACTGGGATACGTAGCAAGAATGGCATTGCCATTTGATAATGCATCTGCATACTGTGTCTGTGGCTCCTAGGAAATGTAATAACATAACATCTCTGTCTTGAATGTTTCACGATCTTCCACTGGCTCCAATATGTTTGTAAGATAAGGCTATAGTTAGCTGAGGACATACACTAAATCCGTGGTTCTCAAAGTGTGGGTTGTGCCCCACTAGTGGGTAATAAAGACACGACAGGTGGGGGACAATGAACGGAGAAAATTAGAAATGGGTCATTAATACAAGTAAATTAAAATAACATCAGTTCAGGACCCGGGAGAAAAAAAAGTGGAACCATAGTGCAACAATAACGGTTTAACGTCGGCATGTTAACTGCTGCGCAACATTATAAGGAAACGTTAACACGGAGGGTTAATAGTGTATGTAGTGGGCATAATAACGTAAATGGATAAATGTGTTACATGGACCACAGAAAAGCAGGCGATTTAGCGCAAGCAGATAAAGAAACAGGCAGTAGCCTTATCAACCAAAAAGCCAGCCGAAAAGAAAATATGATGAAGCCCATCTTGCGCTTGGATTCACGGTGGGAATGGTGGGGGCAGAGGAGGGACCCATGTGTGTCTTGTGTCTTAAACCGCTGGCAGCAGACAGCATGAGACCCAACAAATTAAGACAGTGGTCCCCAACCTTTTTATCACTGCGGACCGGTCAACGCTTGACAATTTTACTGCGGCCCAAACATAACATGAGTATAACATTAAAGTCAGTTTTCAGTGCTGTGGTTTGCGATCTCAGGGTATTCTGTCATGACTTTAATCCAGAACACCGACAGAGTTGTTGTCTCGAACATACTTTTAAGGCCGCCGTCATTTGCGGTTTCCAGCAGTTGATCTTCTTCTTGCACAGACCTGCTGGATTCACCTGGTTTGTTGACAAATGGGTTGCGGATCCATTCCTTGGCAGTTCGTGGGTCCTTTGTGGTTGGGAAGTAGCGCTCGAACTCTTTTATAAGCAAAGACAGGTGATCGTGCACCAGCTGGGAGAATGAAGGCTCAGGCTCAGTCTCATCCAAAATCCCCGCTAATGTTTGAAACATGTCCAAAATTCCTCTGTTGACGCGCCGTCCCCACAAATCCAGTTTGGCTTTAAATGCAGCTACTTTATCTGCCAACTTGAAGACAGTTGTCATTTTCCCCTGAAGTGACAGATTGAGTTCATTGAGCAGGCTGAATATGTCCACAAGTAAGCCAGTTTTGGCGCTCAAGTGACCGAGAGGTAACCGAGAGAATGCGGTCATTTTTCAAAATAAATGATCGTTCATACTCAGATAATAAATAAAACGGAAATAATTAATAATTTCTTGTACGGCCCGGTACCAATTGATCCACGGACCGGTACCGGTCCGCGGCCCGGGGGTTGGGGACCACTGAATTAAGAGACAACACACCACAGTCAATTGCTGAGCAGCGAAATCTCCCTGTAACTGTAGACATGGTGTCGATTATGCTGGGTGACACAAGTGCTGCAAAATTGAAAACTATCCCTCTCGAATGATACAGTTGTACTTATATTTTATCCGTTTTCAACTTAGTGTTATTTGATATTTCAATCAATTTGAAATTTTAAAATTGGCCAATTTCGTTATAATTTTTGACAAGTGGGGCTTGAAAATTCACCCACCCTCTTAAGTGGGGAATGACAAAAAATGTTTGAGAACCACTGCATTAAATGCACCTCTAACATTATGCTGCATCAAGAAATAAACAAAAACACTACAGAATATAATCCCAAAATAGGAAAATTGGTTCTACAATCACCTGATTTTATCATTTGCTCTAAAGCATTGCCATGGACAGGACAGCAAATGTATGCCAATAGAAAAGATAAAATAAATAAATAAAAGAGATAAATATTTTTGTTCATCTATATAAACAAGTTTGTGTACATATTTCCATAGTTTGAATGTTGTGAGTTTAACTGACTAGCTGAGAGGGTGAAACCTCCCATTTCTGACAGTCGTTCTATTCTTACATTGTGTCAGTGCTAACTGAAGAAAGTTAGTATCCTCCACATGATGATGACAACATCTTCATCCCAATTTTTGAAGGAAATTTGTATGTGGGCAACTATATTTATTTACTTCCACCTCTTCCTGTCCTTTCCTAGCTGAGATAGTGAGTCTGCAACTGTAGGCAATCAGCTGTCATAACATATTCTTTATGTAACTGTATTTACATTGAACAACAATGACACAGACTACTAGAGTGAAACTGCAACTGGTGCTCATTAAGCTGCAGTTTCCAGTGGCCATTAGTCACACCCTATAAGACTGCATCTTCTATTATTTATTAATATTACTATTATTGGGTATTTTTCAAGAGTTCACCGTGTCTTTCATTAGACCCTCCCTGAAACATCCATATCTTTTAAACTGGAAACCCCTAGTTTATAAGCATTTGCTAGAAATCAGAAGTCTCCAGGTGTAAGAAGACATAACCCCGACAATATCACTATGACATCACTAGGGTTACTTTCTCACACTTGTCAAATCTCCCCCAGAGCCACAGAGGACATTATACAACCTTCCTCTCATGAATGAGGGTCAGGACAAGATAAATCCATGGGGTCTTACAATTATAGGAATAATTTAAAAACATGTTTTACTTAGGACAGCCTCTCCTGAACTGTCTCTAAATGTTGCCTTTAACTTATGAAACTAAAGTTTCATTTACGATTTTTTAAAACCTTCAAATTAAAACTCCGAGAAAGAGAAAAGCTCAATCGAAACTGCAAAATATTGACGTATTGTAGGTGATTTTGTGGTCAGTAGATGGTAGTAATGCTTCAAAGGGTCTATATAGTCGACTAGGAAAGAAAAGCAAAGAAGACAAACCCAAAAATAATCTCAGCAGTAGAAGAAGACGAGCACTAACAGTTAGCTTATCAAGCAGACGTAGTTAGCGTTAGCCGAAATCTATCCAATATCTGGCTAGCGACGGTACAGGTGTGGAAGAAAATCATATGCTGCGAAAAAGAGGGAAGGTCTTATTAAACAATTCCCCCCTTTCGACAACATGGAGAAACAGTTACATTTGAACCTGTTAGGTTCCAGACCTCCTATGGCAGGCGGTTATCAGTCCAGCTCTAAAATGAAAATGGGGTAAGTTAACTGTTAGCTTGCAACTTAATTGCATGCTGTGATAGCTTTGTAGCGGTACGTTTACCATTTTCTGTTAATGTATCAATTACACTCTATTAATAAAACCAGAGATTGTGCTCGTACCTCGACAATTTGGTAAAGGATAACAGCTGAACTAACTGCGTTGCAGGCTAAGTTAACGTTAGCTAGGCGCTGCTACCAGAGTTTAGACCCGAGTCCTACACGGGAATAAATCACCAAACTCGCAGCTGCAGGAACCGGCCCGATAAGGACAGTTACTGTATCTATTAAAAAAATAAATAAATAAAATATCCGACCTGTGACCCAATTTGTACCCATAACGTTGAGGGAGTGCATAATCTACCGAGTCAGTCGCTTTTAAACTCATCCAGATTGTTTTCACACAGCTTAACGTTACATGATAGCTGGTCTGAGTTTATCTGCCGTTTTGTGCAGTGTACCATGATATGTGCAAAACAGTCGCTCAGTCAGCCCTTGTTGTCAGTGATTCAAAGTGACACAAAGATAAATGATTTTGCACTAATCACCTGTCACGTATCTAACTTCGCCCACCACTGTTAGCAGTCAGTTGCCTTGTCAGATCAGGAACGCGTTATTAGCCTTGTATACAACAGTATGACAATGTTTTATTTAAGCTAGCAGCTCTGACATGTAAGCGTTTTTTACTTGTTGGGCGGTTCAACCTGGCATTATCCACTTATCATATGTAACATTAGCTAAGATATGTCAGGGTGAGATTGGGCGTTAATTGCAATACACCAAAAGCAGTGGTTGAAGATACTAATATCAGTATAACTAACTTAGATTTTATCCAAATAGGTCCAGCTGCAGGGTCTGGGACACCTTCAGTGTGCAAAATTACACAGTCTATGTAGTGAAGGTCAGGGCTTGTTTACTGGCATGATACAGTCACATTTTTGGGTTTATGAAGGGCTCTCTGAATTAAACAGCATCCTTATTGCATGTTGTTTGGTTTTGCTGCATAATATTTGAATGAATTTCCCAAGTTAGTGCAGTACAGTTGAATATTCTTGTCTTGCAATTGCATGTTCATGTTTTAAATCAATTATAATAGGCTATGGGTCAACTATGGGATCACATCAGACACAGACTGTTTTGCATTTTGCTTGTCTTTTGTTGCACAGACCTGGACGGAAGAAGGATTTCTCCCCCCTGCCCTGGAGTCAGTATTTTGAAACCATGGAAGATGTTGAAGTGGAAAATGAAAATGGCAAAGATATATCCTTGACTGTTAACCTACAGTATCTTCATATTAGTGAGGGGCTGATCCACTTTTTTTTTTTTTCCAGGTCCAATCAGATTGCGATACCGACTCTGATTCAGGAGCTCTTTCATTGCAAAAAACAAAAACAAAAAACAACACTAATAAACAAAATACTAAATATGAGTAATGATGGATAAGTGCAACCACAACATGGTCAGAGGCCAAGGACACACACACACTTCTCCAAATTGTTGCACATTTACAAGTCTCTGCTTTTGGTCTAGAAATAAATGTGTAGCTTTGGTGTTTTGCATGATTTCACATTTACCATTTAAAATGTAGCCAACATTAGCACATTAATAATTTATTATTCATACAAAATCTGTCTCACCTGTCTTTGTATCGAGGGTCCAGTAAAGTGGCAGCTGAATAGAGGAGATCACCTTCAATGCTGCTCATATCTGAGGTCCAAATATCAGTTATGTTAGGTTAGGTTATGGCAGGTTCATAGTCCAGCGCAAGCTGCAGACTGGAATATGGATCGGTAAGTCGATCAGCCCTGTCCGTTTAATATCCGATGAGTGAATGACGTCGGTATCGGATCTGGATAATTGTGCTATGTGTTGCCTTGACTACTTTGAACATTTTCAGACTTTACTGCAGCGGTTCCCATGGTCCTGTGCTGCTCTTGCTCCATGGAGGAGGCCACTCAGCACTCTCCTGGGCAGTGTTCACTGTGAGCATTATAAACTCTGTGACCTCCTAATGCTATAGAAAACATATGCTGAACATAGTGCTGAATATTTACAAAGCTAATTCAGTATATTTGTTGTGCATTGCTTGATATGAATAGTTTCATGTATGTCTTTGTAGGCTGTCATATGCAGCAGGATCAACTGCAGGGTGGTGGCTATGGATCTTCGAGCTCATGGTAAATATTGCTGATCTCAGGGATCAAGATTAGGTATATATTTTATTCACAGTTTAGGAAATGGCCATCTTGATGAACACTTGTCACTTTATTTAGGTGGTATTTTAAGTCCACTTAGAATAATGCTTTTCAAAGATATGTGACAGTCTTATGTTGGTTACTGCTGATCCGCATGAGTGGCAATTTTAAGTTGCATCTGCTGCTATGAAAAAGGTGCATGTCTGTGGAAAAGATTGGCATATCACTAAGAAATCAGCATATTTTTCACAATCAAAATCTTGGTGCTACAACAAAATGAATGATAGCTGTTGATTTATAAATATGTTGATCACTAGGTCCTTATACATTTGGCATGTGTCCATTATGTCATAATGGAATATATCCTTAACATTCATTGTAGTTGTTCTCTAATACTCTTAAAGATGTAGAAGGATGAAATAAAGCAGTGGTCTATAATTTCTACTGAGGGCAAAATAACAAAAATCCTTTATTAGATTTTATTAGGAATGATCATCATGGCACCCCCAGCTGATAGGTGATATGCTAAGCCTTTTTTCATGGTCAGCAGGTCTGCATCATGTTGTCAGGTAGCAACTCCCCCTCTTATCTGGAAGGTCATTTTTTGCATTTAGCTTAGGTGAAATGTGTTTCTGTCTTCATCTGCAGGTGACACCAAAGTGAAAAACCCTGAAGATCTCTCTGCAGACACGATGGCCAAGTAAGTTGTTGTGTGTTCAGTTAAGACAGGCACTAAGTTTGCAAGAACCATTTACACACTTAAAACAGCCTTGTGGCCTGGCGTTAGAGAAAACATGGGAAACTAGAGAGTGTAGCAATGATCCTGCAGGAGTCAGGTGTCCGTTTATTCAGAGTTTCATGGGCTTCTGTGTTTACATTTGGATTACAGATGGTCTGTTTTAAGCTTTAAAAATAAAATGATTATACATCACAAGTTTCTCAGATCATTGTTAAATGGACAGTCATTTTCCTACTTACTACTTCTTTCATAAGGGATATTGGCAAAGTGGTGGAAGCACTCTATGGAGAGAACCCTCCTCCAATCATGATTATTGGACATAGCATGGGTGGGGCCATTGCAGTTCACACAGCCACTGCCAATCTTGTACCATCCCTGCTTGGACTCTGTGTCATTGATGTTGTAGAAGGTAAGTACACATTGTCAAATAGGAGCAAAAAAGTATGTTGATTTTAATACTACTATAAATTAGCAGCAACTTTGTTACATATCTATAGTTAAATAAAATCAAGTCATTGATGAGCTTAGTGTACTCTTACTGTCTATGTTAACAACAAATACATATGTTACTTGTATTCAGGTACAGCAATGGATGCTCTCAATAGCATGCAGAATTTCCTTAGAAGTCGGCCGAAGACATTTAAATCTCTGGAGAATGCCATTGAGTGGAGGTAAACATGAACCAGTCAGTGATACTGCTGAAGTATGACTGGGCCTTATTACACTATGCAATTATATAATACGCAATTTGTTAGTAAATGTTAGCAAGTTGTCATAAACTAAAACCAGTAGGAGCCTTGTTGATGTAATTTGCTGTATTTTGTTTTCACTCAAACAGCTTTACAGTATTTTAAGACCCTTTCTTAGGGTTTGACTTGCACTTTGATTCTTGTAGCAAACACAGTTCTTTCTTTTGCTGTCAGTGTGAAGAGCGGCCAGATCCGAAACATAGAGTCAGCACGTGTATCAATGGGAGGACAAGTGAAAAAGTATGTCCGTTCTCTCTGTCGTCTGTACATTAAAATGCCATATGGGTTTCCAAGTTTTATTTTCCACTGTTCTGACTGACAGATGTGAGGAGTCCACCAGCAGTCCAGGTGTCTCCAATATTAGTGAAGGTATAATAGAAGAGGAGGAGGAAGAAGAAGTGGAAGAAGAATCCAACAAGAAAAGAATGAAGGAAGAGGTTCAGTCTCTCTTAGCCCTTGTCTTTGTCATTCTAACATGTTTTTGTGTTTGAAAGAAGTTTGGAAATGCTTAAAAGTGTTGGCTTTTTCATATAGGTAAAAAAGGAAACCATCTTCACCTGGCGAGTGGAGCTGTCAAAGACAGAAAAATACTGGGATGGCTGGTTCAGAGGCCTGTCTGCTCTTTTTCTCACCTGCCCTGTGCCAAAACTGCTTCTGCTTGCAGGTTAAGAGCTCTCACAGTTTCCCCCAGTGAACTTATTTGGTACTACATACATTAAAGTGTCTGGATAGGCAGCTTTGGAATGTCAGGGGCAGTCCCACCAGTTTGGATGAATATAAATGTTTCACATTTTTTCCCCAATCTATTTTGCAATTGATTGCACAGTTTCATCTCTGACTTGTTCTACTGTACAGGAGTGGACAGGCTTGATAAAGACCTTACTATTGGGCAGATGCAAGGTAAGGAGGACAGAGTTTTTTATGCATAGTTTCCCATTTTTATTCACATGTCATTTTTGTCATATACTGCAGACCTCAGTCATATCCATGATGTCATTGTTTGTCCACAGGGAAGTTTCAGATGCAGGTCCTCCCTCAGTGTGGCCACGCTGTTCACGAGGACGCGCCTGAGAAAGTAAGTGGTGTGTTCCTGAACATACTCTGGATTGTCCTATGATAGTCTGATTCATTTTGCACCCATGGCTCTGTTTGTTCAGTTCATTGTGAATTGTAAACACAGTCCTGTTTCCTCTGTTGCTAGGTAGCAGATGCTTTAGCAGCATTTATGGTCCGGCACAAATTCACTGAGTTTAAGGAAGGATACCTGTGGTAAGTGAATCTCCTACCAAGAAATGTATACACCATCTAACATTTCAAATAGGTCAGCTGATATAGCCAGCATGTCATTCATGTGGAATAAAGGGCACTGAAATGTTGGGGGCAGAAAAAGTAAAACTGACAAAGCTGCAGCTGTTTTAGGTCAGTGTTTGGTTCTGCTAAAGAAATGTACATAGGTTTATTTGGAAAATTAACATGGTCTTGTTTCACAGTATTTTCTTCACTTTGTATTTCTACAGATAATTTAGTTTTCAGTCGACATATAGCCAGCAGCAGCCATAGGAGAAATGTGTCAAGACTCAACATCATCGTACAATTTAACAGCAAATTAAGGAAAATATAATAAGCATTGTTATTGTTATTATGATTATTATTATTATTATTATTATTATGCTGCTTTTGTTATGTAGATATGTTGCTTTTGCTTTGCCTTATTTTTTGGGAGTTGATTGTACTTTAATATTTTTTAAATTTCTAAAATGTGACTCTCACCTTGTTTAATGTTATATTTTGAGTGATTGCATCATTCTTAATGTGTTTGTAATGTTTAAATTCAAGCAATGATTAAAGATAGATGCAGCAAACAATCTCACCAATGTATTAAAAGGACATCATGATCATTTAAAGCTTGGCAGTTTATTTAACATGATATCATATTAAGAGAAATGTAACTGGTGTTTAGAATACATGCATGGTGAGTGTTTATGCTAGTTTTCTGTTGTCCTTTACA